GTAACAGCAATTGACTCAATGTTCACGTAGACTCGTCTGACAAGATGCGCGGCATCGGCCTCCGCAGACTCTCAGGCAACAATATATAAAGCTGCAGCTGCAGCTTGTTTCCCGCATCTTCCGCACTCCAGTGGACAACCGAGTGCTGTCGCTATGTGGCTGGAATGCCAACTGCCCGGCTGGTATGCTTGCTACGAGCAATCGGGTGCGTATCATCCTCCGTCCGCTGCCCATCGAGTGTTCATGAGGAAGCGTCGAGCTCGTTAGCGCAGTACAACGCTCGCGCGTCGGATGCACCTGCTGTTGTTCGTGAGTACATGACCATCGTGACTGGTGCCGCTAGTGCTGACTGTTTACCCCGGAGGCTCTGAGCATTGTGCGCTCGGTCCCCCAGATCTTGACATGCGTTGTACACGGCAATCGTGTGCCCACGGTTACACTTGTTGGGACTGTGCGCGCGCTCCCTGGTCCCGTCCCGTCCATTCTTCAGCGGTCAGCGGAAACTCATGCGCCGACGTCCTATCGCTTCTCATATGGTGCGTGTGCCGCACCCGTCCTCCCCGCAGAAGCGTACTGACCGGACTCTTGACCCTTTGCCTCCACGGAGCATAGGTTATGCAGAACGCTGCCCGCGCGCTGTGCGCACATGCACGGTACGTGTCTGCGCTGTCGTCTCTCATCTCTGGCAGCGCCGTGGCTGACCGCCGGTGCCGCAGCATTGCCGTGTCAAGAGGACACCGGCGTTCGACCAGCGGCCTGCGCTACGGGTGCAGGCGCGCGTGCGGGCTCAGGCTGACTCTCGCAGTGGCTCTGACTCAAAAAATATGCCTGCGCGCTGTGGGTCTGCGCGTTCAGCTCCACACGGAAAATGCGCTTATGTGGTCTAACAGCATCGCCGGAGCCCAGGCTCAATATTCCCGGTGGGGAGCCCGTTGAGTTGGGCGAGATGGGCAACGCAGAGGCGCTGACGCTGGGGCCGTGACCGCGCCACGAGACGGAGCGCGCCCACACAGGCTCGTTCGCCTTGGTCGCAACGGTGCGCGTGGGCCCGCTGAAGATGAAGAGCTGGTCGTGCCGCCGCGCCCACGACGCGCGGCGCAAATCGCGCACCCCGCACAGCCGACCATACTCACGCTGCATCAAGTGCTGCGTGATCGCGTCGTTCTGCGGTGACCGGCACGATCACACGGCAGGTATGATCTACGGTGCGCGTTGTATCCTTGCCATTCGGTGATTGACTGACGTACGCCCGCTCTACCACTCGTCGCGACGCCACGAGATGGGCTGCTCGCTCGCCGACGCTGCCCAAAGCTGCCCGGCGACCTCGCGAAGGGCCATCCGGTCGTGAGCAGGTCGCCCGTGCTTGCCGGTGCGGCCGGTGCGTCCTTCTCGCGTCTCGGCCATCATCACCGGCCGATCTGCATAGACCAGGCCTGCCAGTGTACATACCAGGAGTAGAAATATATTCGTTTGTCTGCTCGGGTGCCGGTTGTCTCTGTCCGGCGTCCCCCGGGCTTCCGCTGTACGTGCGTCTCTATAAAGTACACATCGCGTCCCTCCCGGACGTCTCTGTGCATCCCAGGTCAGATGGTGAGATGCTGCGCCGCCGCCGCCGGGGCGCAGAACGCACCGCGATATGAGTGTCACTGCGTGCGTTGGTCCAGCACACTGCATCTTCCGTGTCGCTCGCGACGCTGTCTCCAGTCCCTGACGCTTCTCAGCCACTGCTCCGATTGGCGATGCGGGGTCCGACGTCACGCAGCCGACGTTCTGCGGCCTCAAAGCGCGCATCCCGTGGCCTGGTCCTATCGCGCTCGACATCTGCAAAGACGTTGTGAGTGCACGGGCAAAGTCGTCAACGGTCGCGCACACACCCGGACTCTGCGCGCGCCCCAGGGACAAGGGACCATAGCAGCGTTCCCGGAACGTGAGTCGTGAGCCACAAAGTCCGCGGGCGGCCGTCGCGCGTCGCGCGTCGCCTCGGTCACAGGTCGCCCGCGCGCGCTCTCGGCACACGCCTTGCGCGTCCAAATCAGAGAAAGAACGCACCATGGTCGTCGCGTTAGCGCGCTGCAGCCGACACGACTGCTCCTTGGCCGAGGCGCGTTCCCCAGCGATCGTTGCTAGCGCGATGGGCATGGTCGATGGCCTGAGACATGGGCCGTGTTGTGCCTGCACCGACGGGGTGGCAGGCAGACACGGAAACGGGATCGTTGGGCTGCGAGATAGCATCAGTACACACGGCAGGGTGACGTCGCCGACGCGCGGGTGAGCAGGACGCGGGACGCGGTCGCCATCGCGATCACGGAGGCGATCTAACGGACTCGTTGACCGCGGGCTTGCGTCAGGGGACGCGAGCCAAGGCGACTCGGTGCACTCGGGCAGACAGAGGCGCTGGGCGTGGGACGGAGATGGGACGTACCTAGGAGTGGAGCAGACGGCTGCCATTGTTGAGGGCGCCTGGAGGCTGCTCGCGCTACGCTGCGCCCAGACGCAGCTTGTGGAGCCGGACGCCCTCGTGCGCGTGCGCAGTGTCCGCCTGTGCAAGCGGCGCCGCGTCGCGCGCCGTGCGGATCCTGTGCCGTGCGTCCGCGATGCGGGCCCCCGCGTTGTCCGCGCGGCGCGTCTCGTGCGCGAGCCGCTCGGAGGTGAGGGCGAGCATGGTGCGGACGTGGGCGACGTCGCGCTCCTCGCGCGTGAGGAGGCGGGAGAGGAGCTTCGACCTGCCCCACGCGGACTCGCGGTCGCGGTCGCGGTCGTGCTGTGCGTCTTTGCGGGCCCTGCGGGGGGCGGGGGGCGGCGAGGAGTGCCGGGAGCGCGACGGGGTGCTCCGCGAGTGGGATGGCGCGGACGGGAGGGTGTCGCTGGAGGACGACGATGGCTCGTGGGTGTCCATCTTCGGGAAGGGGAAGTCTGTGCTGGCTCGGTGGTGGTCGTGGTGGTGAAGGTGGTAGGCGGTTAGGCGGTGAGCGGGCAAGGACGAGGACGTGACGACACTCACCGACCCGTCTCGTCCAAGATGGCAGGCATACGCCAGGGCGCCGACGGTGTTACGTGGGAGAACACTCAGATCCGGGGTGCGGGGAGCGAAGGCCAGCACGTACAAGCTGTCGCATGCTCGCCCGCGTAGTTCATGTAGCAGAGAGGGTGTGGGACCAGTGCAGAGCCGCTCCCGCGATCATATGCGCTGCAAGGCGTTGCAAAGGCGTGTCTTTAAGCCGCCTTATCCCGCGCGTGCCCCACACGTGTTGATGGATCACCGGCGATGGTGTGTGCGAATGGCGAGCCTATCATTCATAATCTGGAAGGGGCGAAACGGACGAGAAGTGAGTTGGCGGACAGTTGGCCGCCGGGCGAGAGGACCTGTGATCGAGGCACCCCGCGCGTCTTACGTCCACCGCGCCTCTCGAGTCCACATCCACAGGCGCCGCGCGTGATCACGCACGATCGCAGGGTGCCTTCGCAAGGCCCGCCGTTGTATTGCGGATATGCACGGCGTTCACCGAGGTTGAGACCGCGTCCACGCCCTCTCTAGGGCGGCAATGACGATGCTTCGTTCATTTCCCCCATTTCATCTACGGCGTATAGAAGCACGCATAGTTATGAAAGCGGCCAGCGTCATTGTCACACACGAGGCACGATGCACTCACCCCGAGTCAGTATTGGAAAATCCACGAAAACGCGCCGGGGATCGCGAACAGCTGCTGCCAC